AAGGAAAAAAGTATATTCAGGAAACTAAAGGTAATTCAGTAAACTTGACTTTCCATCATACTTTTCAAACAACAAGCACAGAATGGGCGTTAAATAGGATCAAGAAGCAATACTCCAAAAAAAAGAAAGGGGATGGAAGAATCGTAAAAATTCTTCCACCCCTTCTTTTTACTCATATATATATATATATATATATTTTAGTTTGGATAATTTAAAATATGTGTACAATGAAACTTGATGTTATTATCTGATCTGGTGACCTGCAAAAATATCACTTAATTTGAAATCTTACATCATATTGTGTGTTTATAAGAACATTTCCATGCCCAAGTGGCAGTTTCAGTTTTGGTTTTACCAATTATAGTGTTGATTTATTGAACGTCTGTCTGTTCAAGGTCATTCACACATTATACACATTGCCAATGAAAAGATTTTTTTTTGTTTTTATATAAGAAATCTGTTGACATTTAATTATTTTGAACATTTTTTGCAAAAATCTATTGTTTCAATCATTCCAAAGTCCGTTAAATACACATGCATATTCGTGATAGAATGCATTCTTATAGCTTTAACTGTTAATGAGGCTTGTTTTCATCAGAACACATGATTTTCGTAAACTCAAACTCCATAGAACTAGCCATTGATCCCATAGATGAAATTTGTGGCAATTCTTACTGAAGCACTTAAGTGTCTTTCATATGCAATTTTCAGGTCTTGCTTTGAATGTAATTTGGTTATGTTTTCATTAAGTACATGCCAACTGACAGTTTTTTTGAAATATCTTAAATTACTAAGTAATAACTCATAATATTAATGCATTTGTAAACAAATAGGTGAAATTATATATGATGATGTCAAAATTTTATTCAAGAATTACAAAAAAGCTTCAATTTGAAAAAAGGTTCAGATAATATGAACTTGTATAATTCAAAGTCATGTTTTACACATTTGTCCACTATTTGGAATTACATGCCAGTGGCCATATTGTATTTTAACCCAGTCATTATAAAGTGAAAAATACAATAAAATACGAAAACATTAAATTAAATTTGCATTAGGAATGTGAATATACCAAAAGGCACACATAGCATATATAATTAAAAATATTTACAGTATATTAGTTATCTTTTCAGCTGTAAAAATCACATTTTAATTGAATTCTAAATAGTAAACAGATTGAACAGGATACTTTAATTAAATGGAACATAAAAATTATGAAATATGTAAACATCGATTAATTAATTCATCAAAAATGACTTGAGTGAAAGTAACAATAAAGAAAATGAAACTGTTATTATGAACAAACAGGTGGACGAAGGTTGGTTTAAGCAGTGAGAGTTTGAATGTCGAGTTACAAAAGCAATTTGCTAGTCACTGGAAGGGGTAAGAAATATATTTGTTATTCTTGCATTTATAATGTCATTTATGATCAAAACGACTAATAAAAATCAGTGTAGTGATTTGTCTGCTTTGTAGTTCTCAAGTAGGTGTAATTTTTTGAACATCTTTGCCTTTTTCAATGACTGATTTATTAAAAATTACACTTTAGCCACTACAAAGCTGCAAATTTCATAAATTATGTCATAAATGTGTAAAACCAAATAACTTCCTACACTTTAAAGTGATCAGCAAATTGCCTTCGTAACACGATCTTTAAACTTTCACCAAATAAACACTGTTGTTGTAACCTTAAAACTGTTTCTTTTTCATTATTAATGTACTATAGTTCTTCTCAAATGAATGAATAACTTTGAAAAAGTTTATGGTTTCTTGGTACAATAAGCTTAATTCCAACAATAACAATAAACAACGCATTTTGTCTGCGACTGTAAATTAGACAGAATTAGATAACCCAATAAATAGGGTATAACATTTTTTGCAGGTCTTATCACACCAAGGCCAACTGAAAGAAGGACCAGAACTTTTATAAAAAAAGGGGTGGTCTTTAATAATCACATATCAAATTTAGGTAAGTATGCATTTCGGGTACAAGGACCCCTCATCAGCTTACAAACACATGGCAACAACGTAACAAATACAATACCAATAACCTGTCAATACTCCGGGATAACCCACGTATGCAGTACACTGCATTTACAATTTCTCAATGTAACACGTACAGTACACTAAACTAAATTATCAAGTATAAATCAGAATACAATGACAATGTGGTATAACATATTAACTCCACCAGTAAATGTCTTAGTTTCTCCTACATTTTCCAAATTCTGGTAGATGGTTACACTATTAATAATAAATATTGTTAGGTATATTAAACCAAAAACAAAAAAGGGGAAGTTAACATTGAACTTACTCTTATTAAACCAATTGGTCACCAGATTTTAACAAAAACAAAATACATCCGATCTATAAGCCATTGTGAAGTCAACTGCACTGACCATCTGCATTTTACAAGGTGATGTGCCTATACTCTTACATCTGTTCAGCATCTGTTTCAAGGTTAAGTGAAAACAATGTCAATCCACCCCTCATGTAGCTTCAGTCCCGTGTTGTTATTAATTCTGATGTCTTCTTGTATCTTCAGAATTTCTAGGTGTTTCTGTAGTCTTCTTTTTAGTTGATTGTTTTCTGTCATAATACACTTGATGCTATCTTTTAAAATTTCACACCTTTCAGTGTTGCAATGTTGTGCCACTGATGATGATATCAAATTATTTTTGATGGCATATATATGTTCTTTAATTCTTGTCTTTAATTTTCTCCCAGTTTCCCCTACATATCTTTTTTTATGTGAACAACTGCAATCCAATGAATAAACTACATTATTTTTTTCCAGATCATTATGTTCATTGCTACCATGTTTACTGATTAACAATTTTGCTATGGTGCTTGTGTGGTTTGGTACTAAAATAATATCTAGTTTTTTTTAATTCATTTTTGATGAGGGGTCCTTGTACCCGAAATGCATACTTACCTAAATTTGATATGTGATTATTAAAGACCACCCCTTTTTTAAAAGTTCTGGTCCTTCTTTCAGTCGGCCTTGGTGTGATAAGCCCTGCAAAAAATGTTATACCCTATTTATTGGGTTATCTAATTCTGTCTAATCCAACAATAACATAGAAGTTTAATAGCATTAATATGTATGATGATAAATGGTAATTGACAACTTAACCAGATTAACCAGACAACTTAAACAGATAAAGAATATTGTTTGGCTTTCTACAACCTGTCCTACTTCCCTATTCTTATTTTAAGCCAGTCTTTATTTGACACCTACAGTCAAAATTCATCGTCTGAAAGAGTATTTGAACCAATTCTTTGTTTTCATTTTAAATTTTAAAATATTCCATACCTAATTAATTATTTCAGAATATTGAAGATGGGACTTAGAGTTTTTATAAGGTAGGTTAGGAATGACAGCATCCATTATTTAGAATGTCTGCTATTTAGAGGTAAATATTATAGATGTCTTATTTAAAGGGTTGGGAGATTGTAAAAATGTTTGTTAAGTGGAGGTGTCCGCTATTTGGGAGGGTCCGTTAATGGAGCTTTCACTTTATGTATGTGTATATATAAATATATATGTACGTATATTTACCTTTTAATTCTTCTGAAGTGAAACTATGCACATCAACTTCACCCGACTCACTTCCAGATTCAGAATGCTTTTGTCGTTCATCACTTTCAGTTTTCTTCTTTCTGGAACTACTTCGTTTCTTTCTTGGTCGTCTCTGACATGATGATGATTGACTAGAACTATCTGTTGCATAGGAATGAGGACTGTGATGTCCATGTGGACAGATATGAGGAACCATGCTACCATAAGGATACAGTCCTGGACCAGCAGGATGGTATCCTGTGATTAAATATTTAATAAAATGAAAACTGATTATAATTTAATATAAATATTTAAAAACAAAATAAAATTAAAAAGATTATTTTTCCTAAATAATTAAAAATTTTTGTCTACTCTAAAAATAAAATTACAACTTATAGAGATATGTAAATGAAACTAGAAAGCCAAATTTATTTATTACAACAAAAACATTTTAGACCTATTTTAGGCCACCTTCAGCTGTAATCATAAATTTTCAATTGAAATGTTTAAAATTACATACTATAAATAGTAAGTTATAAATACATCAAAAAATATTATTCCCAGTATAATAAAGAAAATTCACACTTTCCAGCAGTAACTGTTTAATAAACAAATGTTTTTGGCCACATTTGGGGTCTGCGTCAATAAGTTCTATAAGTCACAATATAAATATAACAACAACATAATACAGGGTTTTTCTAAAAGTAATGCCTGTTTGACATTTTCTCGGAAACTGTTAACCAACATATGATGCCTTTATACTACCAGATAGTGTAACTAGAGTAACTCTTCCTGCATAGCTGATATTATTTTTTAACTCTAGGTTTTGCCAGACCAATATGAAGCAGAATATGAATTCTAAAAACACCTCAGAAACTGGGAAATAATATAAATACTTACAGACACCTTCCATATTGGTTCCAGCAGGCATGTTTATTAGAAAGAACTAATGTTTTCAATCACTTTCAGAAATCTTCATAAAGTTATTATGTGTTTCCATAAATTAAATGCTATTATTTGAACAACTTTTTTAGAATGGAACATTCTATATCCCACTCGACGATATTCAAATTCAAAACATAAATGTGACATACTTAGTGATGAAATATAACATAATAAAAATTTGTTAAACTATGCACACAACTTTCCATAATACAATTGGAGATAGATTAGAAAAATATTAATAACTAGTAATTGAGGTGAAAAAATTTACAATGTTGTTTAAAGTTTGCTACAGTTAAAGGTAACATATCATTGCTTGCCACACTTGCTTAAGTTAATATTTTCTTTACTATTAATGCAACTTTCCTTGAGTATAGTTTTATAAATTTCAATAGCTTCTGTTATTCTTAGCTGTTGTATATCAAAGGTGATGTGTAGAAGCTTAGCCTCATCCCTACATGGAGACACCCCCAGACTTACTTGTAAATTGGGCCAAGGCCATGTTATAAGAAAATCTCTGAAAGTGATCAAAAACATTCATTTTTTTCCAATAAACATGCTGGACCGAGTACAGATGTCTGTGAGTACTTATGTCATCAAATTCTTGAGCAAAGAAGGATGTACTGCTGCCAACATCTGTAAAAGGCTCAGAAATGAGTATGGTGAGATGAAAATTGATGTGAATATAGTACAAAAATGGGTAAAAAGTTTAAAGAAGGATGGAACTAGTGTTGAGGACATCACATAGCAGAAAGCCATTGACAGCAGGCAAAGATTAAAACCAAAACAGGGTAGATGACAATATTTGTGCAGACTGGAGTATCACTGTCTGAGGAACGTGGCTGTGGTAACAGTACTGTTTAAATTATCCACAATCTGAGATACTATAGAGTGAGGGTCAAATGGTTTCCTCGTCAATTAACAGATGATTTGAATGAGAAAAGATTGCATATGTATTCAAAACTGTTGATAGCATTTGAAGCTTAAAACAACATCTTTTTTTTGAGAATATTTGCATTAATGAACTAGCTGTATTTTTATGATCCAGAGACCAAGAATTAGTTGATGGAGTGGCAGCACTCCAGCTTCCCTAGACCAAAGAAATTCAAAAGCCATTGCTCAATATACAAGGTTATGGTGAATATCTTCTGGGATCTTTCTATTTTGCTTGATTTCCTCAACTGTGGAGCAGCAATAAACAGCAATCATTACTTTACATCATTTCAGAAACTTCAAGAAGCCATCCATAAAAATAGACCACTGAAATGGCTAAATGCAATCCATTTACTTCAAGATAATGCACAACTTCACACTTCTTTGGCATCATTACAGGTTCTTGAACAAATAGGAATGTTGGTAATGCCATATCCCCTTACAGCCTAAAACTCACACCCTTTGATACACACTCATTTGTTCATTTGAATAAAGAAAATAAAGCCTTTAGGATAACACTTCAATGATACAGGCAAAGTGTAAAATACAATCAGACACTAGTCCCGAAGGCTTTTCTAAAGTAGTACGTGATTTTTCTAGATAGGCATAATCACAGCTCTATTCTAGTCTTCTGGAACCATCTACTCTCCCAACATAATTTACATAAATGGATCATTCAGTCAGTCATATAAATCCCTCCACACTTTAGCATCTCAGTTATTATCCCATCCACACCACAGACTTGCCATTTTTAAGTTTCTTAATAGCACTCATAAGCTCAGTGGCAAGAATATGTCCATCACTCTCAACTACATCATTCCATACTTCATCTGCTCCTTCATTCATCTGTGCCCTGCTCTTTACCAACAAACACTCAAAAGTATTCACACCATCTGTCACACACTTCATGCTCATTTGCTCATCCCATAATAGCTCATCATTTGCATCTTTGATACAAGTTATACCTTTTTTTCTCTCTTTTAGCATGCATATTTCTCATTTTCTTTCAGAATACTTTCCTATTTTTCTAAAACACACTTCGCAACCTTTGTATCCATTCTTCACCTGCCCTCTCCTTACTCTATCATGTTACTTATACCACCTCACATTTCTTTGATCTATCCACCCTCATACTGCCATTCAATATACCTAGGTATGTTTCTTTCTCGGTAGCCACAGCTTGCATCAGTTCTGTATTCTACCATAAACCTACCTTTCTCTTGACTACCTTTCTATTAAAACCCAATATACATCTTTTGCTGTTTCCATAGTGCACACTTTAAAATGTTTCCACATCATCTATCTGCTCAATTGAACAGAAGAGAGTGCATGGATACCAATCCATGCACTCTTCTGTGCAAGCTTGGAAGTTGTGTATAACATTGTCATAGTTTTGATCATTTTACTTGGTTTCTTCACATCAATAGAATACATTCTATACATTGTAGAATTCCTGAATTTACAAGAAAGACAATATTATTTAGATTTTCTAAAGCCATCAAAAAAATCTAGCAATGAGTTGCACAACTTTCCTGGAAAGAGTTAAAATTGTGTGTGGCACCAACTGTTATGAGATTTTATTTTAAAAACTTTTTATATTAGTAGTTCTAATAAAATGGCAAAAAGCTTAATTTTAAGGGTAGAGATGAGTTTTATAAAAAAATTGCAAATGCTAATAACCAGTAAAATTGTCGTTAAGTCCGACCCTACTGGAGATACACATGACCCCTATTTTCTCCCCACCCTCTTGATCTTTAACCACGAAAATTTCAATTCAATTCTCCTAATATATAAACCTCCCTGCAAAATTTCAGAAATTTTCAACTGAAAGCACAGGAGTTATTAAGCTTTACAGTGGGTGAACAAAATCATGTTCTCACATACACAAACAAAATATCCATACATATTCGTACAGAAAAAAACCCCAAATTTTTTTCCATTTCTTGAAATGTCAAGAAATGCAAAAAATCTGAATCCAAACATGTAAAAATCTAGAGACATCAGTTTTTTGACTGATCACTCTGTTATATATAACAGCTAGAAAAGTAAAAATGTTGAATTATTAGTGAACTACTGTTTTGTTTTATTGTGACTGTTCTGCTCATGTTTATCAAACCTGCTAGATTGTCCCAAACACAGTGTTCAGTAGTGCTTCTTATACAGATGAGTTCTGCTATTTTCATCTTCGTATGTTCAATGATTTGTATGAAATTGTGGGCAAAAAAGAATAAAGCCTTTTGTTCTCCTATACAAGTATGCCTTATATACCACAGTTGGTGGTGCCATGTATGGACAAAAGCTCACTTGTTATTTGCTTTTCAAGAAAGGAAACTTTTAATCAGGGCTGTGGAGTCACGTAAAAATCTACCGACTCCAACTCTGACTCCGACTCTTCCTTACCAATCCGACTCCGACTCCGGCTAAAACACCAAAACTCCACAACTCCGACTCTGAATCCGACTCCGACTCCACAGCCCTGCCAGGGCTGTAGAGTCGCGTAAAAATCTACCGACTCCAACTCCGACTCCAACTCTGACTTTTCCTTACCATTCGACTCCGACTCCGACTCCGGCTCCGGCTAAAGCATCAAAACTCCACGACTCCGACTCCACAGCCCTGCTTTTAACAATTATGTCCACAGTGAAGTGACTGATAATGCTTCAGATATTACTGTAAATAAGAGTTTTTCTGAAGAAGACATCATCAATAAACTGAATCATCATGTGAAAACCATTTTAAATTCCATTCCTGCCAACAACATTGCTGCTGTAAAGTAAGACTATATGCAAGTGATAGAAGCAGCCCTTAAGATGCATTCTCTCACTAATTGCCTTTTAGAATAATCCTAGCTCTATGGGAGAGGATAAAACACTCTTCCCCTATAAATCATTGCAAGGAGCACCCTCTTTATCTAGTAAATGATGGAATCAATTGGCCCATCTCCTACAACAGTTCTTCATCAACAAGGATATTTATAGCTCTTCTAGGGACTTAATGAAGTCCCTCTAGCTCAGCAACTGTAGGACTTCTAATCAAGTAAATGTCTAACTCCCTGGCTTGTGTGAATTTGCTTCCTGCCATACTCACTTTTGTTTGTATAGTACTGTAGCTGTCGGCCATATTGTTATATATTATTTTCATGTTAGTTGTTAAGTTAGTTGTCCTTATTTTCTGTCATCTCTCTGCTCTTTGTTCCATTGTTTATCACCTTCCAGGAACTTCTCAATTGTGCAGGTGGTGGCGACCTAGATTGGACAATAGAAAGGGATAGCCTGGAGGGCTAAATGCAAGATATGAGGACATTCTATTCATTCTATCTCTAACTGCATTACTATTTAACAAAAATTCACTATACCTTTAAAACGTTCGACAGACCGAAAACG